GCTCAAAGCTCCACTGACCTGTGTGGACAGACCAGCGAGTGGCCCAGACATGGGGAAAGACCCTGAGTCATTCTCTGGGTGACACCTTCATCATCTCCTCTAGCGAACTTTGCTTTGACTTGCCAACAAATTTCAGGGCTACCTTAAAGGAGGCTCCCAACGTTTTTATTCATGGGCATTTTTTAAACACAATCCCCAAATAAGCTGGCAAACACAGCCATGTGGCACTGGAGTAGACACACGTTTCAGCACTCCAGAACCACTGATGTATACCTGGACCTTGGCCATAAAGCCTTCCTTGGATTTGCGCCACCTTTCTGATAAGTTCGTGGCTTTTCCAGTCCACTTTCACTTTGGCTGCGGCTTGCTGGGGTGGAGGACAGGCTTCTGAAGGGCAGGCAGGGCTCTGGTGCTTTCGGACACTGGAGTGACAGAGAACCTGCTTTAGGAAAGAAAGGCTTCAACCCCACTCTCCACACCACCAGGGCGCCTCTCTTGGGCTGCAGCAACAGAGCAGAGAGAGCTTGGAATGAACCAGACCAACTTCCCCAGGGCTCCAGTAGAGGGAAGGACAGCTGGAGCACAGTCGGCGCAAGGCTGGGGAGCCTCCGGCAGAGCTCCTGGCGTATCAGCTTAACAGATGCTTCACCTGGAAGCACGAAATGCTAGCTCCAAGCCTAGCCCTCCGTCCACCTGAGATTCTCCAGTCCATGTGCCCAAAGTCCACACCCGATTGCCATTGACGAGGGAATCACTGGAGTCTCCAGGGTTTAGTCCTCTGGTCAGCTGCAGCCCTCCTTCAAAGAGGGCCCTTTGTCTCGGGAAATATCAATATGGCTTGTGTACATCTTTCTATTCCCAGGCGCTCTCAGAAGCTGCGTGGAGCCTGGACAAGTGTTCAGTAGAATACAGGGCTGGATCTGGGGGCTTGAGGGATTTAGGAGACAAGGGGTGGGGAAATGGCAGGGATGCTTTCTTGGAACTGCTAAGAGACAAGAGCAGGCAAGCCCCAAGCCCATCAGCCCTCGTTGCTTAGGGTGGTCTGGGAGCCAGTGGGTAGCTCATCCCCCCTGGATGCGATACTCCAGGGGTGCTCCAAGCAGGGAGCAGGGGATATTTCTTGTTGAGAGGCAGAGCAAGGAGCCTGGGGCTGGGGCACACTGGTCCTAGAGCCCTCGCTGGTCACCCGGCCCTGCAGGAAGCCTTTCTGGGTGGACAGAGAGGTGCTAGGGCCTCCCTTCTCCAATAAGATGTTCCTGCAAAGATCAAGTTCATATGGCCACACCTCTGGGGCAAACAAGAAGGAGCATGTATGCCAGAGATCACCACCAGCTGCCTAGGGACCCCCTTCCCTCACCAACCCTGCTCGGGGTGCAGTTTCACTCTGCTTGCCTTTTGCCCTTGTAGCTCCCAGAGCGACCTGCCCACTCCTCCGGGAGCCTCTGCCTTAGCTAATCACATGCCTCTTCTTCCCCATGCCTTCTCCTGACACAGCTTTCCAACTGGGCCAGTCTGTAACTTTCACTATTCCCGTGCTTTCATCTGGCACATTTTCCCATCTGCTCTGCGTTGCTGTGAACACGGTGCACTGGACGGAGTCCCGGATGTTGAACAAGCAAAATGCAATGCTGTGTGGAATAAGCCACAGGGATGTGAGAACCGCTGAGTCCGACCTAAAAGGATCCCAGAAGAGAAGAAAGGGGGCTCCAGGCAGAGGGAAGGACAATTGCCAGGGGGCAGAACTCAGTGAGTAGAGGTAGTGAGTCTTCTGGGAAAACTCACGGGCATTCATCTCAGGGAAGACTCTAAAGCACCCTTTTTTCAGGCAGGTCTAATAGTCCAGCTGCTGAAAGCTCATCGCGAAGTGATTTCCCCAGAGTGGGGCCTGGAACAGAACAGGACACGCCCCGCCCCCCCGCCAGGCTAGACCGCAGAGGCTCTCAGAACAGGAAACGGAAGCAGCAGGGCCATGAGCGGCTCCAGCATTTGAGGCGCCGGGTACAGTGTCGGTGTCCAGTCTGCGTCCAGTCTGTGGGACGCCGCGGCCGCCTAAAACGGTGGCTTTCTCCAGCCCTGAGGAGCAGCTCGCTCTGCCCTGCAGGGCCAACTGCTGCGGGAAGGCACTCAGGCCTCTGTGCCCTTCGGTGCCACTCAGGACCTGTGAGCTTTTTCCTATCCCACTGCTGCTGCGGGCCAAATTTTTCTGGTTTTCTCCCTTCTACTAACTTTAGGTTTTGCCGAGTCTTCTTTTTCGAGGTTTGTTTAGGTGTAACATGGGCTATTTTGGGATATTTTGCTTTTAATTGTAATTAACTTCCCTCTACTGCACTTTTGCAGATGCCCAAGTACCGACACTTCGTCTTTGCTTCCCTGAGTCCCCAGTTCTTTAGTAATTTCTGCTTTGATTCTGCTCTAAGCCATGCTTGTTGACCTTCATTTTCCTTGGTTCTTTTTTTTTTCCATACTGCTCCGACACTGTTTCCACTATTGGACCTTAGCTACTTGCATTTGCCTAATTTCAGGCCCTCAGATACATTTTCCCTAAGTTATTCCATTTGATCAAAGTTTTCATTCTGCTTGAGGCATCTCCATGATTCCCTCTCATTGCCTGTGGTCTGCATCTGTTCATCCACTGTCCACCCAATATATGATGAGGCCCACGTCAGCCCGCGGACCAGGCTCCCCTCGCCTCGCCACATCTGACCCCGCGTTCCTCCCCAGCCATCAGGCCACTTCAGGCAGGAGGGGTTTGCGGCTCCCACTTCGCTCTCCTGGCGGGAGCATCCTCATTATGGCCGGATCCCTGGGGCCCCACAGCCTCAGCTTCAGGGGCCTTTCCAATCCCACACTGGGGCCTGGGTGTCTGGGCCTGGGGAGCACTTGGTGACCACCCCGCCAGCGGCTGCCGCTGGCCCCCCCCCTCACATCCGGTTTGGGGGCCCCAGAGAGCTAGCAGCTCTGTGGGGGCTGAGCAGATGCCCTGCCACGCCTCGCTGCCTCCGCCCCCTCAAGTAAACCTCCCAGTCATCTCGGCGGCAATCTCGGGGTCAGCAACTATTTGGGCACCACGTAGGGAATTATGTGCACATTACTCAGCCATGACACCGGTCACACCCGCACACGCCGCGATGACTATTTACCTGCCCCGGGTGACACGGTGAGACGCTTCCTCACGTCCTGCCAGCTGCCTACACCACGACTCCCTGGAGAAGTGCTGTCAGGCACCGCCCGTGGGGAGAATCCAGGGCCACCCCAGCACCCCTCTGCACGGTGAGCCCACAGAAGGGCGGGCCGAGCCCGAGCCGGAGGCGGGGGCTCCGTGCCCAGGAGGCTGGTCCCCGCCAAGGCCATCTGGGCCCCCGACATGTGCCGCTGCTGCCCCCCCTCACAGCGCCCCTCAGTGTGAGGGCCATGGGCGAGGCTCCGGCAGGGGTGCAGGGGCACCAGGCCTTTCCGAGCGCAGCACCCGCGGCGCTCTCGGTCAAGCCCTCGCCCCACCACCCAGGCCTTGCAGATTTAGAATGTGGCACCTCACGGGAAGGGGCAAAGGTTAGTGAGGACAGCAGCAGTGGGTGTGGAAACGGGGCCTGTGTCTGAGGGTCACAACCCGGAGCTCGGCCGGGCGCCCGCGTGGCCCCTGCAGAAGCGCCTGTGGCAGTGCCACGCTTCCTCTCAGCACGCACGGGGCACAGGGTGGGCTGGGCACCCACCCACGACTCGGCGCGGCAGCTCAGAGCCCAAGCCACAGGCCCAGGAGGGGCCTAGCGGAGTCCGAGACTCACAGTCGGCCACGCAGAGCCTGGCGCCGTGGGCAGCGCCCGAGCAGGGTCAGAAGGAACGGGCCGAGGAGGCCCAGGCCCTCTGGAGCCCC